CTAAATTGTTGGGTTTTGGTGGCATTTGGTGCACACATTTCTACTTCGGTTATTCCCTGACGTTTTAAATCATGCATCAGGTCAGAATTTCAGTGTGTCCAACTCTTTGGTTTGCGAACTAATACCTGCAAAGCTATTGACATTCCCAGCAGCCTCGGCTGTACTCTGCTGCGTTTAGCTCGAAGCACCACTGTGCTTAAATAGATGCTCACAGAGGACAGTCTCTTTCTGACAAGCTGCCCCTGGTGTATCTGTTCTCTCTAATCAGCCATCGCTTGAACTCAATTGACAATAATTTCATCACTTAGAGTGACATATAAGGTTGCCCAAGCATCAATTTGGCTTATATTTTTTCCTAAAATGAAGGACGAAATCTTGGGAATGAAGCCCTTGATGACTGCTCAGAGTTAACTGTCTACTAATTATGTATAAGTGAGAGAAGATTGGCCATTGCTCAGCAAGACTTGACCTTGTTTAAGGCTGTTATTTAGAAACGCCTCTGCCTGTTGTTTGGAGACCGAATGTGATAATGGACTGCTGTGGCTTTGGGAGCACAGAGGAAATTCAGCCTCTACTAGCTTTTTGCTACAGCAGAGTGAATGTACGACTAAAATGTAATGCCCTTCTCCTTCCTGTTATAGAAGTGTCAGCGTAAATCATTGCATTTAATTATCAAATTTTATTGCTGTGATTGTAGTATAATTAACCTTTATACTGAGCAGCCATTATTCTGCTATTTTACTGAGTTGGTTTTAATGAACATTTGCCATTAAGAGGCGCAGCAGCTATTTTCATTTGTTCAGCCCTGGGACAGATTCCATTTTTTGATAGTCACTTGTATTTTTTTGCATTACAATGATGTCACGCTAATACTATATTTGTCATATTGATTATAATCCATGTATTTTGCATTTCGCCGTGCAGCCCCTTCCAGCCCGTACGTCAATTTGTCTAGATTAATTAAGGAAGTAATTGTTGATGCTTCAGGCATTTCTTGCTCAAATTGTTATTGGCCCCTGCCTCTGAAATCCCAAATCAATATCTGTTCCTCATTTGATTCTCAGCCTGAGCCCTATAGATTGACAGTCGCACAAACACACACACACACACAACCACACACACACCCATGCTACCCGGCGCGTCTCCCTCTGATTCAATTGCTGATGCCTATCTGATGTCCCTGCAGCGCCACCAGGCAAGACGTCAGCTTGGCTAACTAATGTCAAAGGAACGAAGGCATTGATCACGTAATTGAATGATTATTCAATTAATGCATTTTGAAGAGCATGAAGGAGACTCTTTGAGGGGGCAAACTTCTGCAAGTATTGCACAACTATGCATGTGTGCACGCCTCATATGATTAAGCGTGCATATGTGTGTGTGTTTGTGCATCATTATTTACAGTTGGGCGTGTGTTGTTCTGAGAATTCATTGCCAAAATCAACTTCTTAATGGGCCCGCAGAAACATTTGCTGTAATCATTAGTGCATTGTTCCTTGATGTGTCCTCTCTCCCGTCGTTGTTTTTTTTTTTTCTCCTCCCTCTATTGCTTCCTGACTCACACACACTCGCTCACAAACAACAATGTCCTTCACATCGGTACGCTGGTTATTAAATATAAGATGAATGTCAAGAGACTCACACTGGAGAGTAAACCTGCCACCGCCAGTCCTTGAGGGGCCTTGGCATTTCACAGCCACCTTGATGGCAGTCTGACATGACAAGGACTCGTCATCCTGAGGCTCCCAAGAGCTGTATAATTGCCCTCTCGTCCTCATTTCACATTCTCGTTAGATGCACTGATGTATTAGCAAAGTTCTCAGTGACAATAGACTCATCAGCTCTTGTGGCTGCGGTTAGATTTACCTACAGCGCTACTCTACAGCTTAGATCTCAGTCATATAAGGTAGCACATTAAGTATTGAGAAGAATTTTGTTCAAATACGTTTCTCCTCACATTTCCTATCTCCTTCCATCACAATACCCCACCTCCCCCACTCTTCTCTATTGCCACACCTTCTTTTTCACCTTCTTCATCTCACTTTCTTCATCCCCCCTCCTGATACTTTTCTTGCCGCTGGCTTCCTTACTCATTCTCATTCCCAGTTGCTCTGTAAGTGTTGTTTTCTTACTCTCTACACCCACACACACACACACACACACTCACACAGACTCTCTTTTGTGCTGTTCCCGTTATACATTCTCTTACCTCTCTCTCTACATCTCTAGCTGAATCTTCTCCCGGTGCCACCGCTCACCCACAGGCAAAGTCATCCCAGGTTGCTACGCTTTCTCCCCCTTTTTCTCTCCAATCAGATCGTCTCGCTACCTCAGAGTCATTTTCCAAATTTGGCCACTAATTGGGTTTCTCCTGCGATTAAGTCAATAACAACCTTCATATTAGAGTTTAATGTCTCCTAATGAGTCCATTTGTTGGCCAGCGGCTAATTAGGTCTGAGCTGTTTATAGATAACCTAAACTAATTGATGGGCATTGCCAAACCGCTGTGTGTCAATCAGTAATGTATTTGAGCACATTTCTGCTTTTAGCTCACAGCCCTCTTGTGCAGAGCACCCCACACAGATTATACCGTTCTGGTTCATGGATCAGGCTGTATAATTTGTGAGACAGCGCAGCATTAACATTAATGATAACTCCAGGGGAGCAGAATGAAATCCATTTAACATTGACTGACAAATCTTCTTCCTCCTCAACAAGCATTTAGTTTTATTACTGTTGATTATATTCAGCATTTGTGTTGAGGGGACTTGTGTCTGCCTTTGTTAACTGGCGGTGATCGTTGAAATATTCATGTCTGCCAACTGTGGACTTTTCGAGAGTGGTTAGTCAGCGCGCATGTACATCAGGACTCATCGTGGGAGAATACAACACACGAGGCCCTACAGGCAACAATGGAGGGGGGGGAAAACGAGGACAACGGGCCCCTGCAGAAGCTATCGAGCTGGAATCTTTGACAAAGTTTCAACAGATCCGACTGACATGCCAAGACCCTCCCCTGGAGTTTGAGTCTGCACAGGGCTTTGGCTTGATAAGGCGGTGTGTGGATGAATATAAAGTGAGCTGGAGGAGTCTGATATTGGGACTCATCCCAATCATATGCCTCCAGGTTAGCGTGCTATCAAAAGAAGGGGTTTGTTTGAAGCAAGGTTGTCTGTCTGCACACAGCTGCAGCTCTATGATAAAGAGGAGGGAGGTTTGATAGGTGAAACCTCCTGTCCTTCTATCCATCCCTCTCCCTCTCTCTCTCTAATTGAATCCAACTTAAATTGGCATGCAAACACCAGCAGGAAGCGTCGGGGTATTTTCTCCTTTACCGTCCCACTTGCATCTCTGTATGTATGTGTTGTGTATCGGTGCCTGCACAGCGCTCAGCATGGGTTCTTAAATATTAAAAATTCCTCACTGTGTGGAAGTTACTAGAGCTGGAGTGTTTTTTTTCCTTTTCTTTTATAGCAACACCAGGAACACAATGAGAAAGAAGAAATCTCTTTCTCTGTGTGTTTTTCTCAGCCCCTGTGCCAACATCGAAAAAATCTTTCATGCTTTGATTTTTCTACGAGTATTTTCCTCTTTTAACTTTCATCAAGGCTAACCATCTGTTACAAGATTGCTCCAAATAGTTTTCCCTTGTGCCATCTGTTGCCTTCCTAACTAGTTCTTTACAGTTTTAAAATATTCCCGTCCCTATGGAAAACAGCTTTGCATTACCTCTCAAGGCTACTTTAATATATTGTGACCTACTCATAATGGGATTTAATTCATCATTAATTATGTTCGCAGCAAACAGGAAATGCTTCTGCAACGTTGGCTAGCGTTACCTACAAGTTCAAATTACGTTTTAAGGAAAATGTTTTAATCTAATGTTCAAAGAGTGCTTCGAGGATATTTCTTATTTCAAATAATTAACATTCCAATAGATGTTATCGAGGCATCAAATGATTTTGCTCTGGTTTAAAGCGCAACGTTGATGCTAGATAATGCATAAAGAAATTTGGCTATTACTTTATAAATCGTTTGATTATTGCCAATTAAATTACAATCGAGGGGCCTAAGACAAACATTTTATTGTAACTGACATTTAAATTCGTGACGCAAAAATAAAGTCAAATCAACAGAGATGTTTAGCCTACAAAGAACTCATGCTAGCTAGCTAGTGCTAAGGTAAGCTAATGTAGCGTAACATTGTCAGCTTAGCATAAAGTGAGCTATTAGCCTTTTACACTTATAATAATGAGAGTTATTTTTACTGCTGGTTATCTATTATGTTAATTGATCTGAAATCTAATATTAGCGAGGTTAGAATATTACAAATCTGATGTCCACAGGGCGGCTTCTTAACTGATATCAGGTCCTAAACTTACATTTTGACATATTACAGAAAAGGTTTTTGTGCGTTTTTGTTTGAACTATTGGGTAGCCCTCAACATCACACTCATGTAAAGAAAAGTTTGTAAATATTCTCATTAAACACCACAGAGGCCTTATCGTCTCATCTTAAAGCCACTTTTTCTGATTTTCCTCAGACCAGCATAATGATTTCAATACTATTTAACTTTATTAAGCCAGACGGATTATGCATTGCAGTGCATAGCAGAGAAGAAAAGAAAAAAAATATATACTGAAAATAAAAAAATTAAGTTAAAACAAGGCAAAAGAAAAGTAAAATAAGACATAATACTGGCAGTGATACTGAAGTAGTAAAATAAGATAAGATAAGATATAAGATATGCCTTTATTTATCTCGCAGTGGAGAAATTCACATCGTTGACTCGCAGCTTTACACATAGAGATACACACATACTATACAGAAAAATGTACATATAAATGTAAGTATAAGAAATAGTGCAACAAGTATAAAAGTACACGAAAAAGGAGAATAGTGCAAATGGAATATGAGAATGGGCTTCTGAATGGGGGTACATATAAGAAGATATATATATAAAAGATAAGCAATAAATATATAATAATAACAGTAATAACTAGAAAATTTCCTTGCAGAAAATTTGAGAGTGGCACGGGAGTGTGCCGGGATTTAAATGATGATTTTATAATTACTACTAAACACATTGAACAACCTAAGCCTCATCTGTGTGGAGAGAGCAGAGAGGGGAGGGGGAGTTGAGAGTAGAGTCAGAGCGT